ATTTTATTGGAATACAAGAGTTTTTTATTTTTGAAATCCAAATAAAAAATACGTGTACATGTTCTATTCGAGGTGTTTTTCTATTCGAGAAAAGTGGATTCGAGGTGCTTTTCTATTCGAGAAAAGTGGACCCGCGCTGTTTCAATCTCAAAAAAGGCTTAAGGACCGCGGCCTCCTCGGCCTCTTACGGGCAGCTACCGGTCCTACGCGATCCTGGCCCTTGCAAGGCCCCAAAACCTCAAAATGCCCACCGTCCGACGACCACCGACGTTGAAATGTCTCAGGGGGGGGAAACGCAACCCTGACGGGCTGCGAACTCCACAAAGAAAACATGACTATGCCAGAATGTTTCGGCGGACTTGCACTGACTCATCAGGAGATTGAACCCCGACAGTTTGCCCAGAATGCATTTGTCTGATGGATAAAGACTCGCCATGTCACCCAGAGTTAGCGATACCCCTGAGAAAAGTGGTCCACCTTTACACACACCAACACTGCAATCCTACCAGACTGTGGGTCCAAACCCCCGACAAGAATGGCAGTAAGTCTGAGAAATCGCAGCCATAAAACCCACTCTACACCTACACAGCCATGGATATCCAATGGCATGACTGTGACATTTTAACCTCACGCCCTGCACTGCCTTCCGGTCGGAGTGATAAATCGTGCGGAATAGGCCCTGAAAGACAACAAAATGGGGTGTGCCAAGGTTTTTTGGGAAATTGAGTGTCGGGACACAAACGGAATTCAGGCACCGAAACAGTTACTTTCCAGCCATTCTGGTTCTAAAACTACTTCAAGATTGAAAATTTCAAAAGCAATATCAGTGCGCGGAATTGAGCACGCGAAAATTCTACGTCTATCTAGCTTCCTGCTGAAAATTCACAGATCTTTCAAGGGCGAGTGTGAGAACATCCATTTGTAAGAAAGGACAAGTCAGCGGGAGGAGTGCCCGTAATTTTTTGGAGTTCCCAACTGTCGAACAAAATTCCTACTGCGCTCGCTAAGGCGCGAGCAATTCCTACGTAGGTGCATGGATTGGCGAAAGGAAATTACAAATAAATCCAAAAGAAACATTGTCTTAGGAGTGAGAGGGTCTGGTTGGCCTGCAATTCTGGGCACTGAGGGGATAGCAAAAAGAACGGGTACCCCAGAAACCCAAGAAAAATCTGAAGGGTAGGAACACAAGAACTTAGGGCTTCAGAAGATCGCTCGGGTACGGAAGTTGGTAAGTCACATATGTGACGTTCAGGGGGTTCCCAAAATTATGAGATCGCTTGATTGCATGCACGTAGGTCCAACTAATTTACATGATAAAGAAAGGGAATGAGAGAGAGAGGAACCTTGAGGGGGTTGCCACATCAGTGAGTGAAGAGAAGCACGTGTTGCCCCAATGAGAGAGAGAGGAACCTTGAGGGGATTGCCACATCAGTGAGCGAAGAGAAGCACGTGTTGCCGCAACCTTCAATTGCAATATCCTCACGAAGTCCATCGTTGTATCTCGTCGGTAATCGTCAGCTGTCCAGAAGCGCCTTGTTGTCTTTCAGATGGCATCATCTTGATCTAGCCTGTTGGCTCATTGATGCTCCGCTCGGTTGTAACTAATGAGGAGGGGAGGAGGAGGGGGTCAGGGCCATTTTGGGGAAAGCGGGGGAAAGTAATCAGAAGCTCGTCACCGAGATCGCCGAAATGGACGATCCGGTGAGCGCAGGGGAATTGATGATTGAGACGGGGGAGGGAAGCGAGGTATTCAGCATACAGGGTGGGGATTGTGCGCAAGGTGTTATCATGCAGGGACTTGTAATCTTCCACGACGGGGAAGGTCCCGGAGATCATGCAATACAACTCCATATGGTTGTACTGCCTCCATGTCACACCAATGAGAAGGATATTGAGAGGAAAAGAGAGAGTGGCATGAGGGTGGACTTCGCAGAGCACGCGGATTACACAGTGACAATAGAAAAGTTGGCTGGTGAAGATGCGGTAATCGTGGGGAAACTCGATGTGGGGGAAAAATCAAAAGGGCAGAGGAAGACGAGATGAGGACGGAGTGCTAGTGTTGGGAGGAGGACGGGGACAAAGCGTGGAGGGGGTGGAAGAAGAGGGAGATGTTGAGCGAGACCGACAACAGTGGCGGGAGGATTCTGCGGCGGAATCTGCGCCATCGTGGCGGCTAACCACTTCCTCAAGTAACTCAAGATTTCGTGCGGAATCCGTTGGTATGGGTAGGCGCGAGCTTGTTGGTGGCACTACTTCAAGTTCGAGTTCCTCCATCGATGGTTCGTCCTCCTCGCCCTCGCTTTCTGCTTCTTTTTCGGACGTGGATTCGGTCTCTACTTCCTCCTCTTCTTCTTGCTTTTGCAGATCTTAGAGCGCTATTGGTTCTGGATCATCATCATACATGACATACGACACTTCCCCATTATCGCGATGAGTTGTTCAGAACTCCTCCAGATAAAACTTGTTGGGGGAGACTTCGTCTAAGTCCAGAAAGTTTCACTCGATTGGGTCGTGCTAGAACAGAAAGTGTCCAACGTCCTCCGTGCAGCTAGTTCAGATGACCGTTGGTACTAGCGTCCTCTCTAAGGTTACTGGCTCTGTTTAACTCGGATC